ACAAAATTCGGAAAGATATTATTACATAATAGGTGCGCCATAAGAGAGTTTTAAATAAGGGGGCTTTTTAAATAAATCCACTATCTAAGAGTCCTATTCCATCAAACTCATAGTGTTTTGTAATATTCCATTAGGTCCCATTTCATACTAAAAGATTGAACAACCCTCAAACAAACACGTGCCCACCCTTTGAATCAATAACCGTCTCTCTCTCCCCCTCTCTTCTTGCAGAAAATCCCACACAGTATCTCCACTATTCCAAAAATCCAAAACTGTATTCCATATCGTCTTAACACCCAAAAGACTCTCATTGTCCCATCGTCGCATTGTCTCATCATCTTCTTCGTCATTCCTACGTCGTGGGTCACCAAAATCGTGGAAATCACCATTGTTAACACATCAGTAAGTTCCATCTTCGTCAAAATCACCATCGACGGCCATTTGTAACAATGCAACTGTCAAAATAGGCAAAAAACGTAAGTAATCTCATCATTCTTGTATGTAAATCCTAAATCTCTTCTTCAACAAACAGCATTGTGAAATTTCACAAATATCCCCTGTTTCTATTCATACAATATGTGAAACTTCATATTGTTATTGTTCATGCCCTAATCGTTAATCTGAACCCCTCAATCCCAATCCCCAATTATATGGGTTTTTTCACCCAAAAACGTTACAGTGCCCATTATGTTATGTTGAAATCTATGAACATTCAAATGGATTGAAAGATGTTGGGCCAATCAAATTGTTTAGGATATTATTGTTGTTGTTGTTGAAAGATGTGAACATTCACATGAAATTGAAAATTGTTGGGCTGATATACTTGGGGATTGGGATTGAGGGGTTCACATTCACGATTAGGGCATGAACAATAACAATATGAAGTTTCACACATTGTATGAATAGAAATAGGGGATATTGGAAGTTCACAATGTTGTAATTTGAACAAGAGCTTTAGGGTTAACATACAAGATTGGTGAGATTACTTACGCTTTTTGCCCATATCGACGGTTGGGTTGTCATAAATGGTCGTTGATGGTGATTTTGACGAAGATGGAACTCCAGGATGTTCAGCAATGGTGATTTCCATGTTTTCGAAGACAGAAGGCGGAGGGATGACGAAACCGACGATGAGACGTTGCAACGATGGGATAATGAGAGGCGTATGGGTGTGAGACAATATGGAATACGATTTTGGGTTTTTGGAAGGGTGGAGATACTTTGCGTGATTTTCTGCAAAAAGAGAGGGGGATAGAGAGATGGTTATTTGATTCAAAAAGAGAGGGGAAGAGGGGAATGGTGTTTTGGTCTTCTAATATGAAATAGGACCTAATGGAATAGTAGAAAACACTATGGGGTTGATGGAATAAGATTCTTAGAGAGTGGATTTAAAAACTCCCAAATTTAATTCATTCTACAATAAATAAGATCAGTAACTAATTTCATTATTGTGATTTTATAGATAAAAAAAATGTTAAAAAAAAAGAAGAACAATAATCATAAAAAGTACTACAAAAATTCCTAAAATTACAAGGCATTTTTTGTTCATATTTTTATTTATTAGTATTTATATATACAACGCATATAAAACTATTCATTAATTTATACAAGTCAAGTTCGAATTTATTTGAGAATTTATACCAACTCAACCAATCTATATCAATTAATGGTTGATCAGAATTTTAATAACCAACCAATGGGATGAAGGGTGGAGACAAGAGATTGCTTTGGTGGGAGTAGAAATCGACTAGAGGGAAAGGTAAGGAAGGGAAGTTAAAAGTAGTGATGGTTGCATAGTAGACGTGCTTTAAATAAGAGTCGATGTGGTCAAAAGAGCGGAGATGAAAATTAGAGAAATGATGGTTAGTAAAAATAGTTAAAATTTAATTCATTTTAAAATAAATAAGATCAGCAACTAATTTCATTATTATGATGTTATAGAAAAAAATAAATAAATAAATAAAAGAAGAAGAGCAATAATCATAAAAAGCACTACAAAATTTTCTAAAATTAAGAGGCATTTTTTTTTTGTTCATTTTTTATTTATTATACAAAATTATTCATTATTTTATACGAGTCAAGTTCAGATTTATTTGAAAATCTATGCCAACTCAACCAATCTATTATCAATTAATGGTTAATTCAAATTTTAATGGCCAAATAATGGGATGAAGGGTGGAGACAACGCTAGATTAGAGAAGAGAGATTGCAAGTGGGAGTAGGAGTAGAAGTAGAAGTCAACCTGGGAGAAAGATAAGGAAGAGAAGTTAAAACTAGTGGCAGTCGCATAGCAGAGGTCCTTCAAATAAGAGTCAACATGGTCAAAAGAGCGGAGATGAAAATTCGACAGAGGATAGTTAGTGAATGATGTAGACTTGATAAGGATTATTGAGGGAAATAGTATCATCCTCCTTTTAGAAAGGGATAATTGACAAGTTTATAAATCAATGAATAAGATAGCCATATGTAGAATCATTTGATAAAAATGACGACTTAAATTTTTCAACAATGACTCATTTTAAATCATAAAATCTCGTGCATAGCACAGATAATATGTTAGTTGTTTAAAAAAACAAAAAACACTTATCTATTTTTTTAGTGACAAACACCATAAATTGAATAAGTTACAATTATCGTATTTTGTCTTTTTTCTTTTTTTTTTGGATTATATACACAATGTGCCTGACAAAAGAAACTATTCAAATTATCGAGAAGGAACTCGTTCCCAGACAACACCCTACAGTTCTCCAATTCCTAAAAGAAAATACCCAAAAAAAAAAATGTATTATATCAGTCAATCTATGAAGATAGATAAAGCAAATTGCATCTATCTTGCGATTGATTATTATTTACTGATTCACAACATCATGTCTTCATCAATCACTACAAGAATTTACACTTTTGCCGACTAAAAAAATTTTTATCACAAAAAAATGACATTTGGCGACCAACTATTAATTAGTCGTGAATGATCATTATTTTTGGCGACCAAATATTATTGGTCGCAGAAGGTTATATTTTGGCGACCAAAAAATGAGTTGGTCGCAGAAAGTAGTATGCTTTTGCTGACCAACTACAAATTTGGTCGCGGAAGGTCACATATTTTTTGGCGACCAAAAATTTGGTCGCCAAAAACTTATTTTCAGCAACCAAAAAAAATTAGTCGCCAAATTAGTACTTTTAGCAACTAATACATTGATTGAGATTTGGCGACTAAAAAAATTTGTCGGTGAAGGTACCTTTTCTGCGACTAATGCGGTCTTTTGGTCGCCAAAAGTTTGGGAGGGAAATTTGATTTTTAGTGGGGCGGGAATTGAAATTTTTTTGCGACAAATAAATGTGGTCGCCCATGTATGATGGATTGTCCGCTTATACAAAATATTTCCTATGGTCATAAGCAGAAATTTTGATTTGGTCATAAGCCCTAAACTCCATTGTCTCTATCTCGCTCTGTGTCTCGGTCCGCCCTCTCCCTCTCTGTGTTCTTTCTCTCAATCGGTGCCCACTCTCTCTAGCTCACCGAAGTCCCTCACCACCGTTGCTCACATCCGTCGCACATCGCCATCGCCCTCTGGCTTTCTCTCACACAAAGGGAGCGATTGCTGGGTATTCACTGCTGTGGTTGTTGCTGGGTATTCGCCAAAAGCATACGTATGCATACGGTACCGTGATTTTTGCACTCTCGATCGTCGGTTGAAGACATTGTTTACTGGGCAAGGCTGGATTCTTCCTTCTACCTGGTCCTCTGTCGAACGGGTATCCAAAAAGATTTTTGGGAATGTCTCTCCTGATGTTGTTACAGACAGAAGTGCCCTAGTTCAAGAGTGTTTACGATCCATTCTGCACTCCAGGTTTTCATCCAGCCTTCCAAGTGCTCTAAAGGGTACATTGCTCATTCCTTTGTCTCTTCTATTTGATTCCTTTTATCTTTGTTTTCTTGTAAAAGAATCGTTGACAACAATTTTAATTACTAGAATCTGAACTGTAGTCTTGAAAGCCACTGTTGTGCAAACCTTAGCTTTATATGCCTTATTGTAATTTCTTGATCCACCATTTGCTCTTGTGGTTCAGCCTGCAAACCTAAGGAATTTTTAGGGTGCCTTGCATCAGTGGATAGCACTGACACTCTGTCCGCATCATGAGTTGGTTGGCTTTTTTGCGTGTATATATATATCCACAACATACATATTTTTGTGACTTTTGGCTGTTGATATATGGTAAGTGAAAGAGGGTGGAAATACTATAACCGCAAATAATACGTCTTATGGTAATAAGATTCTACTAATGCAAGGTCAATAAACAATGTATATATTACATTTTTCATGTTGGTGAAGGCATGCTATCTTCATTTCTTTCATTTTTTTCTTACGTCTATTAGCCTTTACTTGCTTTGTACTTATATTGCTTTGAGTAATATCTATTCTTTCTTGTTGTGATTGACTTGCTAGAATAACATTGCTTAGTTGGTGCCCATGGTGAAACAAGTAAAAGTTTGTGATATTTGTGGTGATGCTGGTCGGGAGGATTTTCTTGCAACTAGTAGCAAGTGCAGTGATGGGGCAGAGCACATGTAAGTCATTTATGATTTGTCACTTAGACATTACTAGTTTTACTGTAGTTCATTTGGTATCTTCTCTTATTCGTTTCTTTGAAATGTGAACATTCACATTTTGTTTTATTTTCAATCAATCAGTTACTGCATGGGTGTTAGGATGGAAAAAATTCCTAAAGGCAATTGGATGTGTGAAGATTGTTTGCTTCAAGAAGAAATTGAGAAACAGAAGCAAAATAAATTGGAAAAAGTAGGTAGGACTCCACAAGGTCCATCCTCAAATAAAAACCTCCAAAATGCTGGAAATCTAAATACCAATATTAGAACTTGTGTGGAATTGGATGCTAAAGGCTCAGATGTTGAGAAAAGTAGACGAGACAAAGTTAGTTCAATTTCACGCATCTGTGCTAAGAGACCTGCGGGCAATTTAGAATTTGACTCTATTACGAAAAGAAGGGCTCTTGAAACGAGTGTTGGATCTCCAAGGATGTCCAACCCTTGCAAAAAAAGTCCACTTTCTCAGGGTTCTCTGCATAAGAATGTGGATAATGTGAAAGTAAAACCGACGTGTCACGTATCTACTTTCAGTGACCGCTCACCCTCATCCATGATTTCTTTTTCTAATTCACCCAAGACTCGAACAAGTCGTCAGATTTCATGAGGTAATTTTCTAGCCTTCCAAATGATATTTTAGTGATTTTAGTGATTTTCATCCAGCCTTCCAACTGCATATGTTTCATGGAGCTAACATCTTTTTAATTTAGTGATTTTAAAAATTCTGGCTTCAATGGCTTCTCCACAATCAAAATGTGCATTTAAATGAATAATGCTCAGCAACTGTTAAGCATGGGAGTGTATTCTAGAGACCAAGAATAAGCAATAAATTCAGTTAATGATATTTTGGCTCATACTCCAATGAGGCCACATTCTAAATGCTATATATATGTACTAAGATAGGCATGCATATTAAATGGGCTCATGTTCAGACCTTGAAGTCCTCTCTTGATGAGCAAACTCTGGAATTGCAGGTTAAAATATCAATTGAAGCTGAGGCCATCTCTCATGTTCAGTTATTTTATGGTATAGTTTGATATGTCAATTGTTTCATCTATATTACCCTTTTGGTACTAACTTAAGTTCATATGGATGCTGAGCATTGGCATTGGCATTGGAAAATGAATATGAATATGGATTGACATATGCCTGTTTACTTCATTCTATTCGCATTGAAATTTGGGAGTCTCAGAAATGTCTATACCCGCCACCTCCTACATCACAGGTATGTTTCTTTAAGGTTGTTACTTTTTTTTTTCTTTCAGAAAGGAAGGTTGTTACTTAATAATCTAGTTATTTAGAAAAGATACTGTATTTGATGCATACAAGTAAATCAATTTTGACAGTGGTATTGAATTTTAATAATTACATGGGTTGTTATTTATGCCAGTAATTGAAGTAAAAGTATCACTTAGACAAAAACTACTCAATGAATACAACTTATTAACATGAACTGTGCCAGAAACTGGTATTTAATGTCAAGGAATCAACACAATAAGCTTCAATCCCAACATACTATTGTGGGTATATGGATCAGGTTTTTGTAATCTATAGTACGTAACACCACCTCAGTCAAATTCAAGACAATCAAGACCTCTCACACAATTGTAGATTAACTCTTGGTAGAATTTTTTGTAAAACGTGGTGGCCAATAAATCACTTATGAATTTTTAAGTTAAAATCTCTTATAAACCTGAAAAGCAACAACATTAAGGAAATAAACTCATAATAAGACTAGAAACCAAGCTATATTTATTCACAAATCATCTTCATGTGAGTCCTATTAATCAACTTTCGAAACCCTGTTTTATTTTCACCAAAACTCTAGTGATTTTTTTTCATGTCTGTATTTCTCCTGCAGTGTCCAAGTCTGGAATAGTGGAAAGTCTCTTGTCATGGGCAGATTCTGGAATAGTGGTATGTTTTTATTCTTTTATTGCATTTTTATGCATTAATAAGAAGTTTAAAGTAGCACTTAATGATTTTTTCTGCATTTTGACTCTAGACCTTGGGTATTTCAATTCCATAATTTCTATACATAAATATCTATAAATTTTCTGAAACTAAGGTGACTCATGTGTGGGCATGTGTGCATCCATCTATTCATTCCTGCAGTAATCTTTCCTATTCATTTTTTGATATGCACAGGTAAAGCATAGTAGAACATCATCCCCATCTTCTTATGAGAAGGTTTTTTGTGAATTGGTAGATATATATACCAGAAAGAAAAGGCCTGATAAAAAGAAGCATAATGTGATGTTTATATACATGTTTATATGCATGTGTGCATCCATCTATACATGTTTCTTCTAGTGACTCTAGTCACTTCATTTATCTTATTACTCTTCTAATTGTCCAATCCATGGTAAAGTGGGGATCTTTGAAAAATTATTCTCTTCTCTTCCCCGGACTAAAGAATGTGTTCCTATAATTCTTTTTCTCTTACATGAGCATTCACTTAGAATCTATTCATTGCAGTTTCCTGTGGTGAATTCTTTGGTCAATCGCCTGATAAGGACTCGGATATTTGTGGGTTACATGAGATAAATGATCCGCTTAACAAACGGGAAGAAGGATTAAAACTTCAGCAAGGTCATTTAGAAGGATCAACAATTATATATGTACCTACTAGAAAAGAAACATTAAGCATATCAAAGTTTCTTTGCAAGTGTGGTGTGAAGGCTGCTGCTTATAATGCCAAGGTAACTATTTTTGTACATCTGTTTAATTTGGATTACCTATCATTCATTAGTTTTTTGTCATTTTGGTAATGGTTTTGTAACTCTCTTCCAGGTAAATCAACCCTTTAGCCTTACTAGACTTCTGTCACTCCTAGTTTTCAAAATTTGTAAAGTCTTACGTCTCATGAACGATGAAAGTGGAAGCTGAAAGTTTTATTTAATAAGTGATTATTAACTTTATAAAATTGATGCATTCTCCTTGGGGCAACAGAAACACCATTATTAACTTTCATGTTTTCAACCTCTGGGCTATTTTTTTTTTTTTTTTTTTTTTTTTTTGTGACTAGCAATGTTGTCATAAAAGGGTAGTGATGAGGTTGCAAACACTCTAGTATTTGAGGTCCTTTTTCCTGTTTGGTATGCAAGTGATTTATGCTTTTTATCTTCCGACCAAAAATGGGCTTTTAGCGACCAATTTTTTGGTCGGCAAAAGTGTTAATTCTTGTAGTGTCGTCTCACCTGTCTATTTGTAATGTTATCTATCCTCTTAAGTCACATGAACTTATACAATTGAATAACGTCTTGCTGTGATATGTTGACATAATACTGATCCCCATTGTGTTTTTGCATGGAAAGTTCAGAAGTACAATATATATGGAAGAGAAATGCCAATTTTGATGCAATGAAATCTGTGAGCGTATGTATGTTGATTTTTATGCTTGGGTTTACATGTGATGTGTAAATTTACCATATTTTTGTAGATGCAGAAATTGAAGGAAATTTAGTAGATTAATAACATTTTCCTTTTCTTTATTGTGTCACTTTTTTTCCAGCATATGAGGAGGAAAGGGTGCAGGCTGATGCTGAAAGGCAGGAGAAAGCAAACGAGTCAGCTATTCGAGTTTCATTGGAGAATGAGATATCCTCTCTTGAAGTCTGAGATACTTTCATTGCATCAGAGAGGGGGCTCACTAGCTCAAGATGTGGATGGGGAAGTAATTCTTCTTCGAACACGCCTTTCTGAAATGGAAACGGAAATAAAACGGTTCGAGGAGCTTGTCAAGAAAGAGAGAATGGAAACAGATTCTGAGAGGAGAAAAGCTGATGCTGAGAGGAAGGAAGCAAATGAAGCACGGAAAATTGTGAAGGCAGAAAAAAATAGGGCTGCTGAAGAAAGGAGACTTGTTGATACTGAACGAAAAAAGGTTGAGGAAAATCGAATTCAGTTGGAGAAGTTAAAGAGTGAAGCCGATGAAGCAAGATCAAAATTGGTTTTGGAGGCATTCCAGTCTGAAGAGGCAAACAAAAAGATTCAGGCAGAAAAGCAAAAGGTGATTAAAGAGAAAAAACGTGCAGATTCGAAGAGGGCCAAAGCGGAAGAGCTAAGGGAGCTTGTAGAAATTAATCAGAAGAAGGCCATGGATGAAAAGTGTCGTGCTGATAATCTGTCTTAGCAGGTTGAAGAGCATAGACAAGGGATTGAGAGATTACGAAAGGAGATAGATGAACTTGTATCCTTGAGAAAGTTGGTTGAGGCTCTTGATGACCTGTCTGATAAATGTATGAATGATGAAACTGCAAAAGTGAAAGGTGGGTTTCCGGCAGGAAAAAGTAGTGCTACTGAAGAAAGGAGACTTGTTGATATTGAACGAAAAAAAGTTGAGGAAAATCTTATTCAGTTGGAGAAGTTAAAGAGAGAAGCCGATGACGCAAGATCAAAATTGGTTTTGGAGACATTCAAGTCTGAAGAGGCAAACAAAAAGATTGAGGCAGAAAAGAAAAAGGTGATTACAGAGAAAAAACGTGCAGATTCAGAGATGGCCAAAGCAGAAGAGCTAAGGAAGTTTGCAGAAATTAATCAGAAGAAGGTCATGGATGAAAAGTGTCGTGCTGATTATTTGTCTCAGCAGGTGGAAGAGCATAGACAAAGGATTGAGAGATTACAAAGGGATATAGATGAACTCGTACCCTTGAGAAAGTTCGTTGAGGCTCCTGATAAATGCATGAATGCTGAAGCTGCAGAAGTGAAAGGTGGGCTTCGAACGGAGATATTAGAGAGAGAAGCTGATGAGTCGAAGTTGGTTTTGGAGTACTTAAAGTCTGAACAGGTAAACAAAAGGCTCAAGGAAGAAAAACAAAAGGTGATCAGAGAAAAAAAGCGTGCAGATTCAGAGACAAGGAAAGCAGAAGAGTAGAGAAAGGTTGCAGAAACAAATAAAAAGGCGGCCATGGAAGAAAGACATCGTGCGAATTAGTTAGCTCAGCAATTAGAGGATAATAAGCGAAGAATAGAGGAACTACAGAAAGAGATATTGGAACTTGTGTCCTCTAGAACATTGGTTGAGGCTCCTGCTGTTCTGCCTGATAAAAATATGAATTCTGAAACTGCTATAATGAAGCTATAGAGAAAAAAACTGAAGTTTAAAAAGAAGCAACTAAAACATGCAAAAAAAGTTGCTGAGTTTGAAATATATCGTAATAATATACTACAACAAGAACTATGCTGCTTAAGGCAGGGTTTTGTTCAATTTTCGCATTGCCTGGATGTACTAAATAACTACTTCTCACATCGGGGTGAAGGTCGTGATGACCTGGTAAAGGTCGGTTTCTCTTTTGCTTATTATTCATTTAAACTATCTGAACAGACTTGAATTAAATTTTTGTTGATTATTTGATAGGTACAGTGATGTCATTTATCAATAATAGTCTATAGCATACAGGTTTCTAGTGTTTGTTATTGGACTATATTTTGGTTGAGTTTACTCAGAAGCAAGTTAATTGAAGTACATAGGTATTTGACTGATGGCTGTTTAGCTTTTAATCTGATGGGTGAGTAATCCAATCAGGGCTTATGCTCTTATAATTCATCATGAACTTGCTTGTATATGTATTTTAATAAATATTAGGAGATAGTTATTTAGTCGAAGATTATAAATAATGCTATTCATATGTAGCTGTTGTCAGTCAAGTTTTGCAGCCTGAGAATTTATAGTTTCAACTTTAAATACTTGAGTTATGTGTTGAGTACTTATTCATCCTATTTTCTGTATTCTTTGCAAGTGATTAGATTTCGATATCTTATGCTTTTTTATTTTTTCTCCTTCCTTGAACCAGAGCATACACAAGTTTCTTCACATGGTATTTACTTAACTACTTGTCTAATTTTTGCAGACTGGCAACGTTTTTAATACTCCAAGCTTAAACTTGAGGAGGGAACGCTTCAGTAAAAAGTGGCGCAATAATGAGCTTGTAAAGCCTATTTGCACAGCTATGGATGCCTCTGATTTTATCAAGCAAACCATAGAATATTTGAGATTGCTCTCTCAATAACATTAATCTGAAGGGCAGATTTTGATTCTGAATCTTGCTCACTCCATGATTCCACATCAAATTGATCATCTTGTAACTCAACCTTTTGTTCCAATGGAGTTCTTAGCTCTACATTATGATGGATAGGTGAAGATACAGTATCTTCTGCAATCTCAATAGCATTAATCTTCTGGGCAGATTTTGACTCTGAATCTTGGTCATGTTAATCTGAAGACAATGGGACTGTGGTAGCATCAGCAATATGCAGATTGTTTCTGGATGTTGCAACCGTAGAAGAGTCAACACTATTGAGGAATTCTGAATTAGAATCATCACAAGAAACTGTATTGCACAAAACAGAGTCCAAATTTGATGAAGCAACTGCCTGTTGATCCACCTCATTTTCTGTGCAAGATTCTTGAAGATGCTCTGGGGAACATGCCTCGTTGATTTCCATACCATTCTGATGTAAATCCTCAAGAATAGTAATAGATTCTTCTTGCAATTTTGTGGGACTGGTAGAAAAAGATTTGTTGTCGCCTTCATTATTATCACAATGTGAGCCAACAACAGCAGTAGCCACAATCACAACTTCCGAATGAACAGTTTCAGTTACTACATCATCTAAATGCAGGAACTGGTGGAGGATCTGGAGAGCTTTGAAAATCAGGTGAAAATTTAAGGCTGCTATCATCCTTTCCAATGATATCCATGTCAGTGGAGAATCCACCCGATTCTTCACAATCTGCTGCATTGGAAGCCACATCAAGATTTTTCTCTCTAGAATATGAAAAACCCACTTCTGCTGAATCAAGTTTATGTGAGGAAATATTTTCTGATATTCCTAAGAACTGATGCTTTGTAAAGCTAGTAGCCTCTAGATTGTCTACTGTCGGAGTTGAGCTAATTGCTCTCTCCTCGGGCATTGGAGGAGCATCATCTACTTTAGAAACTATGCCATCAGGCTTCATATCAGGATGACAAGTTTCCAGTTCTGGGAAGGCTGAATCAAGATGCTGCTCTTCTGCATGTGAAGTAACTGAATGTGGTGAGACAATCTGAATGTCAACCGAAATTTCGGGACATTCATCTTCTGCGTATTCTGCTTGAAGTGAATCATCTAACAAACTTTCATTACTATTCTTTCCATGAGCAGCAGGCTCCAAGTGAATCATCCACATGATGGTTTTCAGAAGACAGCTCAGGGGGGAAATCATCTCGCGTTTGGGAAGGACTATCAGAGAGATTAGATGTGCAGGGTAAATTTTCTCCCAGATATGCTGTATTCTCTTCCAGATTACTACATTTTGTATTAAGTTCATTATTGGAAGATATTTCATCCAATTCCGGTTCCACTGATGAACATTCCATCAAACTTTTTACTGGATCTACAGGTACAAGCACAGGAGTTGAATCAGCATGACAGCAAATAGAGGATGGTTCTGCAAATTCAGGCCTGTAACTTGGGATATTGGCTTCCTCATTGCAAACACCATCACAGACCATGTGCTTTGGAGCTTGGGTCAATGGACTCTCCTCATTGACAGTATGCCTGTCAGATGTCATGTTACCAATCTCAAATTCACAAATGTGGTCTTATAAGTACTACAGGTTCAAGTAATTTTAATTATTATGGTGTGTTCCCGTTGAGAGGTAAATTGCTTAATGTGAGGGAAGCAAGCCATAAACAGATCATGGAGAATGCTGAAATTCAAAGCATCAAGCAGATTCTTGGACTTCAGCATGGAAAACAGTATGACAGTGTGAATACTTTGAGATATGGTCATTTGATGATCATGACTGATCAGGTTTAAAACATTTAACTTCTTGTTTTGTTTTTTCTTTTGGTTTTATCTATATGTTGATTCATTACTGAGTGTGGATGCATTTTAGTTTGTTTGCTGATGACTTGGTTAAAAGTTTCAATTTTTATGCATTCACAGGACCATGATGGATCACATATTAAAGGGGTGTTGATTAATTTTATTCATTCATTTTGGCCATCGTTGCTAAAAATTCCTTCTTTCTTAGTTGAGTTCATTACACCTATTGTGAAGGTATTCATTACACCTATTGTGAAGGTATGTACTCCCTGTCCAATCTTACTTCCATTACTGTCTAGTGGAACTGAAAGTGAAGTTTATAATAACTAGTATTTATTGTTGCACAGGCTACTCACAGAAATGGGAAAGTTCTAGCGTTTTATTCCATGTCGGAGTATGAATCTTGGAAGGAGAGTTTGGGAGGCAGAAAATTCTAGCGTTTTTCTTAACAAGGTCACGAAGCTAAATTGTACAAGACTACTTGGCAGCATGAGCATTTTTTGGAGGATTAAATATTTTTGGATGGATGTGTATGGATAACAAATATTAGTAGTTTTATTTGTTGATAGCTGCGCATGGATAACAAATAGTTATGTTTCAAATTGTTATGCTAGATGGATGTGACTTGTGAATGAAAACTTAGAATAGTTGTATTGTGTCGAATGTTAATGAATTATGTATTGTATCGAATGTTAATGATTCAATTAATTTGAATGATGCTTTAAAATTATAGGTTTATTATGGATTGAATGAATTATTAGGAATTACAGGTGTATTATTTTCCTGCTTTGGCGACCAATTTATTAGTCGCGACATCCAAAATAATTTTTTTTGGCAAAAAATGACAATTGCCGACCAAGAGTTTTGGTCGCAAAAAATACATCTATTGCCGACCAAAACAGCTCTTAGTCGTGGAAACTCACTTTTGCCTACCAAAAGTTTTGGTCGCGAAAAGTAACAAATGGCGACCAAATTTTTTGGTCATGGAATGTCACAATTGGCGACCAAACTTTTTGGTCGTTGAATGTGATAATTGGCGACCAAACTTTTTGGTCGCGAAATGTGTCAATTGGCGACTAAGATATTTGGTCGGGAAAATATCACTTTTCGCGACCAAAGTGTTTTAGCGACAAAATGAATTAGTCACGGTAATTAAGGCCAAGTTTGGGAAGACTAAATAAGTGTACTTTTTGACTTTTTATGAAATATGGGTTGGATTTGGGTTGGGTTTGAAGTGATGTGTTAGAGAGGTGATGTGACTTAAATAAGATGATGTGACTTAAATAGGATAGTGACTTTTTGACTTTTTGAATTTTTTGAAGGATGCCAAACTTGGCCTAAATATTTAGCGACCAAAAATTTAGTCAGGAAATCCAACTTTTGCCGACCAACTAAAATTTTGGTCGCGAATTACTTTTGCCGACTCTCAATTGGCGATCAAAGTAGCGATCAAAAAAATTGGTCGTGGATAACTTTTACCGACCAAAAATAGACTTTTAGCTACCAATTTTTTTGTTGCCAAAAGTATTAATTCTTGTAATGAATGTATTGAGTTGTTTATTTATTTGGGTAATACTATTCAAACTGAATTTGTATAGAAAATACTCTATTAATGATGTGTCTGGTTTTCCTACTTTAATAATATGATTAGTTGAGTTGGCTCGACGCGAGAGTGTCACAGCTCGAACCAGTGTCGGTGCACCGAAGAATAAAGGCAACTAGTAATTATTATAAGTTCCAGCTTGAATAAGGCTGTCCACTTACTCCTGTTGTCCACCATGGTTTTGTGAAATTCCTGTAAATTCATGTGTCACACTATCATTGCTACTACCTACCCACCAAAAAAAAAAAAAAAAAAAAAAACCTTATCTTAGTTGATATTGACTTTGACCACTACCAACAAACATCATATGCATATGTATCCTTACCATACAATTTCAAGACCAAACTCCTATATCAGCAAAACGTGCGTTTTGACCACAGCCAACCAAAATTGATAGTTTTCACAACTCCCAAAAGATCAAAATCAGACATTACAAAACAACACAAACATTTCGTCTTCACACCATTTGTTTGAGCCAAAATCAATATGGGCCTATCCCCAAGATCTCTCTTCTTCTTCTTCCTCTTCATTCTCTTCATTGATTCTGTCACTTGTTCATCATGTCCCATTGATTTCAGTTATGTCCAAACATTCCCATGGGACTCATCACCGTGCCAAGACCCAACTGACAAAAGCTGTTGCCAAACACTCCTCAGCCTCTTTGGTATTGGACTAGCCCAATACCTCAAACAAACATCCATGTTCTACTTCCCAAACGAAACTTCCTCATCTTCTTGCCTATCCGATTTCCAAACCAAGCTCCAATCCTTGTCATTTCCACGGTCCTTAGTCTCTGAATGCCTAGGCAATTCAACTGAGTTCGTCGTCAACCCATCGTTCTGTGCTGGAATCGCCACAACCCAAGATTGGATAAAAAAAGTCGGTCCAACGAGCCTTCTAGACTCATCCTGTAATGGGGATATGACAGGGCTGACCCGGTGTGGCTTGTGCGTCGAAGCTGGCTTCAGAGTTTCTGCTCAATTGGCTTCTCTAGACAAGAATTCCACAAAATGCTTTTACTATGCTGTTTTTTATGCTGCTGGGATTGTCAATGAGTTTGGCCCTGAAGATCCCAGAACTGCTGTTTGCATATTAGGCTTGACCTTGGATAGTTCAGCAACCAACAAGTCAAAAAATTTCAGCAAAGAAAGCTTGTACAAATGGGTTTTCGGGTCTTTGGGCGCTTTGGTTGGTGTTTTGATGACCACGGGACTAATCATCGTGTACAAGAAGTGGCACAAGAAGAACCAGCAGAAGGAATTGCACGAAGAATACGTGACGGGTGTGAAGGCTCGAGTTCTACCCAACACCGGCGCTAAATGGTTTAGTCTGGCCGAGCTTGAACAAGCCACAAGCGGGTTTCCACAGAGGAACATGATCGGCCAAGGCGGGTATGGAGTTGTTTTCAAAGGAATCCTCTCAGACGGGACAGTAGTCGCGGTGAAACAAATTCTCGACATAGACTCAAAAGGAGACGAAGAGTTTGTCAACGAGGTAGGGATTATAAGCAACATAAGGCACAGAAATCTCCTCTCTCTTAGAGGTTGTTGTGTAACAAGTGACCAATTAAGAGGCAAAAGAAGGTACTTAGTTTACGATTTCATGCCAAATGGTAGCCTCGACGACCACCTTTTCAAAATTGAATCCAACAAGAAGCGCTTAAGCTGGCCACAGCGCAAGAACATAATTCTTGACGTGGCCAAAGGGCTAGCCTATTTACACCACGGGATCAAACCCGCCATATATCACAGAGACATAAAAGCCACAAACATTCTTTTGGACTCGGAAATGAAAGCTAGAGTTGCAGATTTCGGGTTAGCCAAACAAAGCACAGAAGGGCAGTCCCACCTCACCACACGAGTGGCTGGCACGTACGGTTATTTAGCACCCGAATACGCCCTTTACGGGCAACTAACTGAAAAGAGCGATGTTTACAGCTTTGGGATTGTAATTCTCGAGACAATGAGTGGGAGGAAAGTGCTCGACACAACGAATGCAACTAATGCATCGACAATTCTGATCACGGATTGGGCATGGACGATGGTGAAGTCGGGGGATGCGAAGGGGGTTTTCGATGAGGGGATAAGAGAGGAAGGGCCTAGGGGGGTGATGGAGAGGTTTGTGCTTGTTGGGATTTTGTGTGCTCATGTGATGGTGGCTTTGAGGCCTACCATTGCTGATGCTCTGAAGATGTTGGAAGGAGATATTGATATTCCCAGACTGCCTGATAGGCCTTTGCCTCTTAGTCATGAGTCTTTTCGATCTTCTTTGCTCTTTAGTGCATCCATAAGTGAGAGATCCAAAGGCAGCTCCAGCATTAGCAGCATGTAAAGATTGTTACACTCTTTTCTTTCTTTCTTTTTTTGAAAGTCAGAAATTTGATAGTGAGAGATCCAGAGGCAGCTCCAGAATTAGCAGCATGTAAAGATTACTATACTTTTTTTCTCTTTTTGTTTTTTTAAAGTTAGACATTTTTGTAATGCGACTTATGAATTAACAAAAACAAAGGAATTGGAGGTTGTGGTATCAAACAGAGTGATTATGTGTTTAAATGATTGTAATTTGACATGTTATTTTTGTTGGGATTAATCTCTGAAATGATATAGACATCAGTGGGTTTATAAATTCAAAAATTATTCTGGAATGGAGCATTACTCTGGGAACATTATATTATTTCTAATAAACTGGATAGGTTAACAAAAAGCTTGAAAGCTATAGTAGGTATTTACAGAAAAGTCTTCGTAATTTTATTCAAAAATGATATGGTCCACATGTTTAGAATTGATTTTTTTTTTTTGTGATTTTTTTCGTTTTTAATGAATTTTTTTTAAAAAAAAAAAACATTAAATTTTTAGAAATTACTCAACTAGACAAACCAGAAAAGTTCAAAAAAAAAAAAATCACTAAAAATAATAAATAATTTTTTGTTTGTCTTTAGTAAATTTTTTTTTTTTTTTTTGAAATGAAATTTTTCTGCACTAGATGGACCAAAAAATTTGACACAATTTTTAAAAAAAAAAATAAAAATAAGTTTAAAAGAAAAACTTTTTTAGCTTGATGTCTAACCACGACTAAAAATTAATGAATTTGGACTACGAAATATTTTTTTAATAAAAGGTTGGATATTTTTGTAAAAGTGATAATTCTTGTGTGTGTATTTTGACAGGTCAAAAGAACAAATGTCAAGAACACCACAAATCTAGAATCTCGTGTCGATACGTTCCATTAATTATTATTTTTATTTATTGATTCACTGTTGTATTAAACTGAGCTTCTAATCAGTCATGCTGATGGTGGAAAGGCAATACAAGAGGAAGATGCAGAGCTTTTCCTATTTTAGAGCTACTTTCGCAGTAACTTTGAAGGTTTTAAAAACTGAGAAATTTGAGAAGTTTTTTAACATTTATTAAAATTTAAGAGTTGATTTTAATTAAATTATTTAATATGTAAAAATAAAATTTATAATTTATTAATTTTATCTTTTAAATTTTAAATTTTTTACATTTATGATAGTGGTGGTAGCAACGACAATGATAATTGTATGATCGTGATGATTATGGTGTAGTAGTAGTCACGGTGACATTTGTGACGGAGGTGGAGGGGTGATGATGATTGTGGGGATGTATTTTCTGAATACCAACACGTGGCAAGGTGATGCCAACGTGTCAGCCGAGGTGCCACGTGTCCTGGTTGTTACGCCGTAGTTATCTCGGTAAGGCCGAGGTTATCTCCGAAGATATCGGAATCCGAGATAAGCGAATAAGGGATAAGGGACAAGAGTCCTAGAGTAAAGCGGGGACCTAGCCAAGATAAGGATAAAACTCTTAAGGAATTTATCTTTATTTCTTAAAGAGTCCAAAGTAAGTATAGAACAGGAATTCATAGAAGTCAGGCTTCTAGTAGGATTAGGATTGAATTGGCTATAAAAGAGAGGCACCCCCGTGGGTCTAAGGTACGCAGTTTTATACTTTAAATAGTGAGTTTAGCACTTGATTATCTTGGAGAGAAATACTAACTTGATCGTCGGAGTGCCCCCGGATGGAAGAGTCACCGTCGGAGCCTTTTCTTTCTGTTACAGGTTAGCTGAAGCCATCTATTCTGCCGGTGCTCTCCAGCTGATTACTAGGCGGACAGTGTGGTCAGAAAATCACCCACACAATTTGGCGCCGTCTGTGGGAATCTTAGAAGAATAGATGGCCAGTAACGGACAAAAGGAAAATATTGGGGGCGACACTCCTGCTGGGAGTGGTAGACCAATTGACCTTAACGTTGAAGAAGGCAACCACAATGCAGAAACTCATGACCAAGGCCACGGTGAAAAACACGTCGGCCAGGAGGGCGATACTTCGAAGAGGACAGACCAAGACAAGTACTATCACGAAGACAACCTTCAGGTATGGAGGGATAGGTGCCTACGGAGGGATGAGGAAGTAAAAGAATTGGCGAACAAATTGGCAGACCTACAGTCGGTCGTCAACTTCATGATACAAAACAATGTCATGCAGCCACCATACCCGCTGTAGGATACGCCGATGCCAGCAGCTAATACCCAGAAAGGGGGAGGAAGAACAATTCTCGAAGTCCCTCAGCACGCCAGAAGCGGAAGGCACTCTCACCGACCTTCCAGAGAAGTCAGACGAGAGGAGCCGAGACGAGAGGAGTCCCGAAGAACGTATCACACGAAAAACCCAGAGCCCAAAGAACATCGGCATGTTCAAGGGCAGGCACTCTACTTCGACACAACACATGGAGAGAGATCAAAACGAACCCACCACGAGGCTGAGAGTAGTGTGCCGAAAAGATTGAAGTCCAAAGATAGCCGAGCTCCAGGGAGGAGTAAAGAAGGCTTAAGAGATTACCTCAAGAGGAAACAACAGAATGCTGAAGCCGAGGTAACATCCCCGGTTAAACCGAGGACACCATTCTCGGTGGAACTGGACAAATTTCAAGCACCAAAGAGATTTAGTATGCCAAGATTCCAAATATATTATGGTAAGTCAGATCCCAACTTTCACGTTGGCCTACACCTAAATTCAATGGCGTTGTATAGTGGGAACGAGCCGTTGCTCTGCAAAGTATTCCCCTCATCCTTCGGGGAAATTGCATCAGATTGGTTCCATAAACTACCAAAGGGAAGCGTAAAGACTTGGGAGGGCCTGGCCGAGATGTTCGTGGCCAGATTTGTGACAAATAAACTTTAGCCCTTGAGGGTCGACGCACTGATGGCTTTAAAGATCGCCAAGGATGAAGGCCTTAGGGCCTACGCAAAAAGGTACTACGAGGTGTTCAATCGAATACCTGATTGCAACCAAGAGGTGGCGGTTGTGTCCTTCAAGAACGGCCTGAAAGATGACTGTCCACTACGGAAATCTTTGGCAAAGACATTGCCAAAAAGCATGGAAGAACTCATGGCGAGAATAGAGAAGTACGCCAGAGCCAAGCATGGAAGAACTCATGGCGAGAATCGAGAAGTACGCCCGAGCCGAGGAGGATACGTCGGGAAATAAAGAAACAAAGCAGGAGAAAGGAAACGGCTCGCCGAAGCGAAGCCGAGGTAACAACGGACCAACCAAACAAGACACGGACTTGAAGGCAAAACAGGCAGTAACGACCATATTCCGAGTCCCGATCCACAAAGTCTTGGATTAAATACGAAACCAACCCTATTTTAGAGGACCGACAAGAACACCAGGGGAATTCATGGGAAGAAACGTCGGTAGGCGTTGTGCTTACCACAATGAAGAAGGGCATCCAACTCAGGGCTGCAGAGCCCTAAACGCACACTTAGAAGACTTGGTAAGGCAAGGACATCTGAGGGACCTTGTTGATGAGGCCAGGACTAGAGAAGAACAGGCAAGATTGCCTCAAGCACCAGCAGCTCCGCCTCCCCCAGCACAACAACCACCCGCAGGAAGATCACGGGTGGTTAACGTAATTCACTCAAAGGTGAATGAAAACGACATACGAGGGGAGACCTAGAAGGTAAAACACCTACAGCACGTGAACTAGGTTGGACATAAACGACCTCGGCATGAAGAATGCTAAGGACCGACGATAGCATTTACTGAAGCCGACTTAGAGATGGTCCAACATCCTCATAATGACGCCTTGGTAGTATCCCTCCAGGTTGGGGAGTGCCAAGTGAAATGCATCCTGATTGATTAAGGCAGCTCTTGCGACATCATGTACGTTAGATGTTACAAAGAGCTGGGCCTTCATCCCGATGACTTGGAGCAATCAAATGGCCCGATGGTCGGCTTCAATGGAATGCCGACGTGGCCACTGGGCGCAACAAGCTTGGAAGTACAAGCTGGCACTAAGAAGATCAGGACAGAATTCATAGTGATTGACAGGGAACAGTGATCAGTATCAAGGAACAGTGTGTCCAGTTTACCGACTATGTATTATGGATACCCAACTGTGTATTGTATGCATTTATTTTATGTCGTTGTGCTGTCCGATTGTTAGTTTATTTACTGCTTTATTTATCTTTTTGCTAGGTAGTTTAGCATCATTGCTTCCAACCCGGTAGATATTCCCCAAGCACTTTGGATTAGAGGTAGTCGGCTCCATCGATCTAAGGATCTGATAGACGGACAACCAGTGTACCACTCTCTACCCCCGGTTACTAAACGGAGGGCAACTAGGCAGAGGGCATCGGTTCAACAGTCAGTACAGAGGGCTTTATCTACCCCACCTGTGTACATTAGGGATCAGGATCCTGTTTCACCCGCAGAAAGGGAACATATAACGACAATTCAGTCAGAACAGAGCAGCATGGCTAATTTAGAAGAGATGGTGCGCCAACTCCAAGAAAGCATGAAAATGATGCAGCAGGATGCTGTCCGACAGGCAGAATTCGCCAGACAACAAGCCACAGTTATGAGTGAGCAAGCGGAGTTAATTGTGAGATTGCAGCAGCAAACTGGGGCGTCAGCTTCACAGCAAGTCCCTCCCCCACTAAGGGTTCCGATACCCGAAGAGACGCCAAACGCCCGGAATGTCCAAGAAGATACAGACATCCCAACGGGGCCGGCTCCACCCCCGATTCTGCCTCAACAATCCAAGGCACCCACTCCTATCAATCAATCGGATTCTCCCTTCGAGTTCGAGGTAGACCCTGTGGCATTAAAAATGCACAAGCTTAAAAAGCTGTTCAAGAAATCTCAAGGTGTGAAGTCCATTCCGGACATTGGAGACGGATACACTGACGCAGCCGTGACGTTGCCAGATCGGTTTAAGATGCCTCAAATTGATCGTTTTGACGGATCTGAGGATCCCATGGTACACCTGCGACTATTTTCAGACGTCCTAAGGCCAATGGGCCTCACTAGACTGCAGAAGCTGTCTTTATTTGGCCGGACCCTGTCGGGTGTAGCGGCCGCATGGTATGCCAAATTGAAGGATGATGTCAAGAGAAGTTGGGACATTTGAGAAGTTAATTGACTTTTTTTAATAGTTAATTTGATGATTTTGAGACAAAAAATAAAATAATTATGATTTAAATGTGTCATTTTATCTTATTCACTATTTTAATTTATTTTATCTTTATTAACTATTTTAATAAATAAATAAATAAATAAAAGGCCAAACAAATAACTTGCCAAACACTCCCATAAACATAAGAATGGGGGACTGATTATAGTGCTAACAGAGCACCCACTGAAGTCCTTTTTACAACAAGGAGACTTAACTGGAAGAATAGCAAGATGGGCAGTGGCCTTGGGCCAATACGACCTGGAATTCAGGCCGAGAACAGCAATTAAGGTCCAAGTTTTGGCCGACTTCGTGGCCGAATTCACGCCGGAATCCATCGAACATCAGGCTCTGTTGAGCCAAGATGAACGATGTCCAAGCAAGCAAGGAGAAGCCCAGCCAAAGACAAAAGAACAAGGAAAAAAAAACTAAGACCTTGCAGCATTTACATCGGCGACTCCTTTCGCCTATTTGTCGATGGGAGTTCAAATCGGCAAGGAGCGGGGGCAGGAGTAGTGTTAATATCTCCTGATAGGGAGATATTAGAACAGTCTATTCGATTGGGGTTCAAGGCCTCAAACAATGAGGCAGAATACGAAGCACTGATTGCAGGACTGAAGCTAGCAGTGGCAGCAGAAGCAGATGAGGTAATTATTTTTTGTGATTCGCAACTTATAGTAAATCAAACAACAGGAGAGTTTGCAACCCGAGATGAGAGGATGTCGGCATACGCAAAGGAGGTCATCAGACTGGCAAACTTGTTTCATAATTGTCGACTTCTTCAAGTCAGCCGAGATGATAACAACCACGCCGATGCGTTGGCCAACTTGGCAAGCTCAATGCAAACAGGAAAAACAAGAACAATAATGATTGACTATCTGTCAAGACCGAGCATAGAACAGCCGATCACAGAGCAAGAAGCAATGTGTGTGGACTTGGGTCCAAGCTGGATGGATGCAATTGTTGCGTTCCTAAAAGAGGGAAAGCTACCAGAAGACCATAAGGAGGCATACAAGATCAGATTGAAATCGGCAAGATTCAGCCTGACAGCAGATGGACATCTCTATAGAAGGTCCTTCACACACTACAACAAAAAAGGTCTATGATGACAAAAACACATGACGAAAAAATATTTCGTCTCCAAATATGCATGTTTTAGTGATGAAAATAAGATTTTGTCTCCAATTGTACTATTTTTGGAGACAAAAACAAAATTTCATCACCAAATGTTTAAAATAAATAAAATAATAGGTGACAAATTTTTTTTTCGACTCTAAATTTTATTTTTCATCGCAGAATAGATTCCCGCCCTTGGAAATTTTGGTAGAAAATTTGGGCGCCATATTAGAGATGAAAAATTCCGTCACCATTGTAAAAAAAATTCAGAGACAAATAGAAGTTCGTCACTTATAATTTAAGGGGACAAAACGACGTTGTTTTGTCTTCCCAAATCAGTCTACCCAAATCACTCCTCTCTCGCGCTCTTTCTCTCACTCTCACCCAGTCTCGTCTCTCTCTCTCTGGTCTGAACTCGTGAAACCCTCTCACTGATTTCTTCCTTGCTCTTTCACATGCACACAAGCACTACCGGAAACCCCCTCTCTCCGTTCGAATCACACCACCGGAAGCCCTCTCTCTCCTTTCGAATCGCACCACCGGAAGCCCTATTCTCTGTTCGTTTTGCTTCACTGATGCAGCACCACCAGAAGCCCTAATCTCCGTCCATTTCGCACCAGGTATCTTCTTTTCTATATATATATATGTACATATATATGTGTTCTCATTGTTTTGGTTTGTCAATTTGTATGCCCTTTCTTTGGTAGAAATCTATATATATATATATATATATGTGTGTGTGTATAAATCTATATTTTATAATAGAAACTTGATGTATCACATCAGTACGGGCAATAATATCAATAAAAAGTATAAAATATGGTATTTAGGATTTGGTGGGTGTATCAAGCTGCTACATGTTTCTTTCTAATCTGTTGTTTCTTAAATTGAGTATCTATTCACCAGAACAACAACAAATGGTCTCAGTGGATAATTGCATATTTCTTGTCTAATTTTATCATATTGTTGGTGTCAATGTGGGTAATGGGGAGCATGTGCATTTCTGGGAGGATATTGGAAGGGGCAAGGATTATTTTGTTCATTGTTCTCTGGTTTGCATTGCTTGTCTCTGTCTCATCAGGTGTCTATTTGCTTCTATGGTTTCATCCTATATGTCTCTGTTGGAATTTGAATTTCTTTAGAAATCTTAATGACAGAGAGGCAAATGAGTTAGCGTTCTTGTTGTCCATTCTTGATGAGGTTTCTTTGAGGCATTCGGTCATGAGATTTTTGCCCATACACATATTTGTGTGTGGTCTCTAGAATATGGCATCTAATGTGTTCAAATTTTAATAATTTTGTGTACTAGTATATACATTGCTTCAATTAAGCATGGTATTATTGTCTGCAATTTGTTTATAATGATTATACCAAAGCTTGTCTTTAATTTAGTCTGAATGGTTTGTGCATTTTGGTCTATCATAAAAACTCATTTAGGCGACAAATTTTTGCAAATGTTTGGGAAAATGTTTAGCTTTATATATATCTTGATGATTTCAAATAGCTATAATTGCGGAGATATTTATGCTTTCGACCATTCAAAATCTTAAAAACAAAGTCAAGGTCTTTCTTTACTAAGTTAACATTTTTTATTTAATTATTATTATTATTATTTTTTATTCACAGAGAGATTATAATTTAGTGATGGAATTTTTTGAAGTACTGATTTGTGGTGGTTTGTTAGCAGATGCCAATCTTTCATATCAGATTCAATCCTATCCCCCTTTTTTTTGTTGTAAAAAGGTATAAAATACATACAATGGAATTGTCAAAATCCCTCTCTCTCTCTCTCTCTCTCTCTCTCTCCATTGACATTAGTGACCTTAATTTTGTTGTTTGAGTACATATCCTAGGAAGAATTGGCCTGTGGAATTCACTTCTTTGTCTACATCACTAAAATACCATGAGCTGTTCAGGAGGAGGATTTGAACCCTTCTTCAAGAAAATAATCACCGTCAAACAATTTTCTAAGGAAACAATCACTGTCAAGAATTTTCTAAGCTATTAAAATTCCACAAACATACCACTCGGTTTTGACATTTACATCACATTATTACTTGCTCCATGTCATCATAGACTTCATGTTTCCCTGTATCAAAGGAAAAATGAAAGAATAAAAAACTAAATGTGCAACCACCTTATATTCTGGTTTCGACCATTCAAAATCATAAAAACAAAGTCAAAGTCTTTCTTTACTAAGTTGACATTTTTTATTTAATTATTATTATTATTATTTACAGTCCTACTCCTACAAATAGGTTTCCAACATTAATCCTAGGTTGAGGGAACATATAGTTCAATTTGATAATTTTCACTGCCATGGAGGTGAAGGTAAGGCCTAGTTTTTAGTGAAATTTTGCTGTTATTCATTCTAGTTCTTTTAAATTCACGGCTCTTGTTCTTTGCATTTCTATGCAGAAAATAGAGGTGAAAGTCAACATTCACTGCCATAAGTGCAAAAGCAATATATTAAAGTCGTCACTAAACTTCAAGGTATGAAGAATGGGTTGACAAGTTTGTCGAAATTTACTATGTTTTGAACTATGACATGTGTAAAATGATGCTATATATATTTTGAATGAACATGCATTGATCAGAAATCGGTGGATAGTGAGAAGGGGATACTAACCGTTATTGGGAATGTTGATCCTGTTTTAGTTGCAACCCAAGTGAGGAAGACCAGAAAGGTAGCAGATCTCATTGGTGTTGGTCCACCGAAGGCTAAAGAGAAAAGGCCCGACCCCCCTAAGTTTGAACCCGTTAAATGTATACCTAACCATTGTAATGAATGCTAGCGTGTAGCTGTCAGCTATGCTGTTCCCTATGACAACAATCCATTTTGCTCTATCTTGTGAGAGATTATAGCATCTAATGTGTCAAATTTTATTAATATACATTGATTCAATTATGCATAATATTGTCTGCATTGTTGCGGTCCCCTCACCAACATTCTCTGTTTTCTTTCTTTGTTGCCATATAGTCCTCTAGAGATTATCTGAATTCTTTGTATGTAGGTCATGAATACAGAGGATTAAATACCAAATAGGATTGGCACATACTGTTGGTACTAATGCTCTAGACCAGTTTAAATGTATTGGTTATACATTTTTCCAACATTACCATGTCTCTGCAGCTCATTTGGATCTTTTTGATCTTTTGTCAGGTGTTTGGCTCCACGGTCTTGGATTCCAAGGTCTCAAGTGAACATGATGAGATCCAAAGTCATTTGGCAATTGTTCTTCGTAAATAGTTGAGTCCATGCATTTAATGCTCGGGGTAATGTTCACTCAATTTTTTTCTTCATTGAATTATTTAACTGGTCTCATAATTACCTTTCCTTCATTTAATGCTCTTGGTAATGCTCACTCAATTGTTCTATGTTTTTATGATGAATCTCTTGATCCTCTAGAACCTGCAATTTCGGTCTTATTTTTCACAATTAATTAATTTATTGACATAAATTGAGTCCGGTCTATTGATTTATTTGCTCTATTTGGCTGCAGAAATAAATTTTTATTAAGGTGTTTGTTCAATTGTAGCATTGTTATCCTTTTAATAGGTTGGTGGTGCTAGTGACATAGCAGAGAATTACACTGGTTTTCTTCATCTCTCATTGTGGATCCACACAAGCACCATGTATACATATAGGGCCTACTACACACGTTTCATTATTTTGTAGGTTGGTAAATCGTACATGTACACATGTCATTTTTTTCTTTGAGAAAATGGTTGTGGAATACTATTCTTCAATTTTCATACTAATTTCCTCTTTAGGTCCATTATTGTGTTTTGATGATATCAAATTTCACTCTCTTATGGGCTATGTATGGTTCCAGTTGTGTAGAAGATTAAGTTAATCGTTCTATATTTGAGGATAATCCGATGCGAGCTCAACTCCTCTTTTAGCATCCTTGGAAACCAAAATCATTACAAGGTTCAATTATATGAAATGCGTCTTCTGTACCATTATATTATTAATTGCTATTATTTTTTAGATATTTTATAATCATTTTGAAATATACTATTTTGAAATCAGCAATATTACCAGGTAGAAATTACAAATGGTTTTTAGATTGGCTTTTAGGACACAAGGCTAACATGTGATTCATAGTTCATAATAACGAAGAATACTTTTCACACTTAAGCTTGAAAATAGGCCATCGAGGGTCAAAATCATGCAACAGCCACGAGACGGCCCGGGTAACACCTCAAAAACCTCGGGAGGGACCAACGCAAGTTAAGAAAACTTGCGGAACTAGCACAGGACTTCCGATTTGAAAACTAAGTTGAAAAAAGCACTTTTTCGCACTTAAGCTTCAAAATAGGCAATCGGAGGCCAAAATCGTGCAACAGTCACGAGACGGCCTGGGGAACACCTCAAACTCCTTAGGAGGGACAAATGTAAGTTGTGAAAACTTATGAAACTAGCACGGGACTCCCAGTTTGAAAACTAAGTCTAAAAATGTACTTTTTCACACTTAAGCTTAAAATAGGCCATTGGAGGCCAAAATCGTGCAACAGCCACGAGACGGCCTGGGGAACACCTCAAACTCCTTAGGAGGGACAAATGTAAGTTGTGAAAACTTATGAAACTAGCACGGGACTCCCAGTTTGAAAACTAAGTCCAAAAATGAACTTTTTCACACTTAAGCTTCAAAAATAGGCTCTCATTGTGGATCCACACAAGCACCATGTATACATATAGGGCCTACTACACACGTTTCATTATTTTGTAGGTTGGTAAATCGTACATGTACACATGTCATTTTTTTCTTTGAGAAAATGGTTGTGGAATACTATTCTTCAATTTTCATACTAATTTCCTCTTTAGGTCCATTATTGTGTTTTGATGATATCAAATTTCACTCTCTTATGGGCTATGTATGGTTCCAGTTGTGTAGAAGATTAAGTTAATCGTTCTATATTTGAGGATAATCCGATGCGAGCTCAACTCCTCTTTTAGCATCCTTGGAAACCAAAATCATT